TTACTGACTCACATCACTGCCCTCAACAACTGAATGTGAGATCAATCTGAGAGACCACAATGAATCTTATACCACAGGGTTTTCTCAGTATTTGCTGTACATACTGGACATACAGGCTTGAGGATAGGGAATATTGGTTGTTTTAGCACTTTTTAATTTTCCTGTTTATGTCGAACATAGTGTCCTTTCCTCACATCTACTCAGCATGTAGGAGTGTGTCTGTCATCCAGGAGTGTGTATGTCATCCAGGAGTGTGTCTGTCATCCAGGAAAGGTTCTCAGCACATTGGTGGCTGTGGATCAAGGCAATGTTTTTAAAACACAGTAGTCGTGAGATGACCCGGGGCCCCGTGTAGCTCAGTTGGTAGAGCATGGCGTTTGCAACGCCAGGGTTGTGGGTCCGTTCCCTACGGGGGGCCAGTATGAAAATGTATGCACTCACTAACTGTAAGTCGCTCTGGATAAGAGCGTCTGCTAAATGACTAAAATGTAAATGACATATTCTAATAGCCTGTCATACTGTATCACATATTTCTCTTCCTAAGGAGCTGAACCCACACAGGTACAGTAGGTGTGCTACTCTCAGCCCTTTCATACACACACTAGCTCTTTTTGACGGCGTATTACTGCTGCCAAGGTCAACAGGTCTAATCCGGACCAACAGTGGCGGGAAAACCAATCTTTGCCTTTAACAACCTAGTCTCGCATAGCCATACCTCAAAAATCACGTCGTTCAGTTGGAGGTCTGGAGAATTTTGTATTAGCCAAAATGGTTTGAATGGTATGCTGGCTCCCAGCGTCAAGATTTTGATTGGATGTTGCATTTCAAGAACCCTCCCCCCACATGGCCGTTGGTGCTGCGTGTTATGTTCATAAATGTTTTCAGACCGGGTAAGATACATTTTGCAGAGAGTTGTTACCTATGCTAGTTTGTAACGTTCCAGAAAATGGCAGAATACCTGGAGGAAAACTGAATTCTGTTTTTCCAGAAGTGTGCTCTATACACAAAATCGGCATACATTGACATATTTTGATGAGGTTCCCACCCCTATTTTGCTATTTTTTTACCATAGACTTCCCCAGGCTTCACGTTTAGGGAAGCCTGGTTTTTGACGAGGCTATTAACAACCTGACACTGTGGTACACAAGCAATCAGTTAACGTCTACTCTCACAAACAGACACTCGGCTTCCCACAGGATCCCAGTGCTGTGCTAGCATGCAAGCCACTGTATTAAAATGTTCCCAGTGCTGTGCTAGCATGAAAGCCACTGTATTAAAATGTTCCCAGTGCTGTGCTAGCATGCATGCCACTGTATTTACTTTCATAAATATGGTTCTGAATATTTCAGCAGGGTGCTTGTGTTTATCTGGACTGAACATGAGCTGTATTAATAATTCATGTCCTCTGCATTTCTCTCTCTCTCTGTCTCTCCCTCTCTCTCTCTGTCTCTCCCTCTCTTCCCCCCCCCCCCCCCCCCTTCAGGAGAATATGTAGTGATGACAACGTATTTCCATTTGAAAAGGAAAATTGGCTATTTTGTGATTCAAACCTACCTCCCGTGCATCATGACTGTCATCCTGTCTCAGGTCTCCTTCTGGCTAAACAGAGAGTCAGTTCCCGCCCGCACTGTATTCGGTGAGTGTCTTCCCCTATCTCCTTAACCGTATTCGTTGAGTGACTTCCCCTATCTCCTTAACCCCGAAATGCACTTAACGAGTAACTGAACCATTCCGACAGTTTGGAGTGCTGTTGTTTAAATTATGAAGCTACATCAAAACAAGTGTTCAGCAGTGGCAGCTTACGCATTTGTGGAGCTGCTTTTGTTCACATCATCAGATACATTCAGTAAGTGCCAGGGGAGGGTATAAAAAGTTCCTCTTTGAGAAGTTGTGGTTCACACAGGGAAGTGTAAAAAGCAGCTTGGTGCCCATGTTGGCTCTGTTGGGTCTTGGACAGTGATTCATTTGGGTTTAAAACTGTTCTTGGATCACAGGATTGACCTGTAATTACCTTGGCCACTGCAAAACCACCTAATTAATTACAGATTAGCGCCAGCAAACTTGGAAAGGAATTAAGTTGAAGAAAGTGAGGCCGTTCACCTCCGGGGACGGAGTGATAAAAGGAAGTGTTGCAGTTGCATCTCTCGCGTCGGGATATTGAACGTGCCTTGCAGAAAGTTTAAGCCGGCCAAGTTTTAAGACATTATTGCTTATTGAGCTCTTGCTAACTTTGGCAAGGTGTCTGGCTTTGTCAACACTTTTTGTGGGGCAGACATATCAGGTGCAAAGCACAGCTGATCCTGCAAAATCGCTATGGAGACTTAGGAAGGGTGCGATCCTGCTTCCTCTGTGATTGAGCAGAATGAAACATGAGCTCTGCCAATTTGAGTTGGTAGACTAGAAAGGAATGGCAGCCCATTCAGGCTTAGGGGAAATGATAGTAACAGAAAAGTTGTGTTCAGCCCTCCAAAGCAATGTCGAGGTAAATAATGAAAACGGTCAAACCTCCAGTTGGAGAAAACATTTCCTAATCTATGCCTAAAACGTTCAAATGGCAGCTGAAACTCAAGAAACACCAAGAAAATGAAGTATTGTATGGTCTCCTGACATATACAGTATTATTGTAGGCTGGTAGTATAACACTTTGCCTTCAAATTGTGCAGAAGAATTGGCAAAGACATATGCAACTTTAACGCACAGACACACACAAACATCAGTCACTAACACACCTAGAAATGTATCTGTGTGTAAATCATACAGCTTAGATATTTGACAGGTTTCACCATAGCTGATCTGGTGCATGACACCTGGCCACTAGCTCTTCATACTGTAACTAACAGTTCTGGAAGCATGACTAATTGGAGAAATGGAGTCATTGAAAAACATGAATCTCATCTCACTACCTAGTGCCTCTCATGTAAAGAGGTCAGCCAGCATATGTTTATTCGAATCAGTTTACCCCACATTCCAAGATAAGAGCGTGCGGCACATTATTCCCCCTCCTCTCTCCTCGTTCATGGAGACCCACCGCTTCACCTCTCAGCCTGCCATGAGGGCTGTGTCAAGGCAACACAAAGTGCCTCCCCCAGAAGCAAGAGCAGGCCTCTGTTTGGCAGCTAATTAGTGTTTCAGAGCAGAGTAGGGCAGGGCATGCAGCAGGGCATGCAGTGGAGCACAGTGGAGAAATACACTGGCTAGCCACTATGATTTGGTTTGATTTGCGTTGCAAGAAAAGAAGAGGACTTCACATTCTTACAGCCATGTGGAAATTATATGGTATATTTCTCTGGCACAGTCCCCTCGGCCACATATGGATTCTCCATTCTCAAAGTCCCATCTTCCTCTCATGAAGGAGGGGCCATCACCTCAGCTCTATGACTGACTGACTTGTTAAACAAAGGCCTTTCATTGCCAAGAAAAGTCACAGTAAGAAGCTGTTGTTCTTGAAAGGGTTGACAGACTATCTTCTCATGTGTTTTCTAATGGAGGTTCAGTTGAAACAAGGCCAAGGCCATTGGGAACCATTCAGCAAACACTGCAGTATGTGTCTGCTGCGACGTTAAGTTTACGCGCTAAAGAAGTGTTTGTTGTCTACTCAGAATGAGTCTCACTTGTAATGGAGGTGCACAAAGGCACAAAATTGTTTAAGGACAGGTGTGGAGTTAATGAAAGTGAGAATGGCCTCAGGGCAGAGGACTGATGGAGCGTCCAGGTAAACAGGTGTCCTGCTGGTAGCTGGGAGGAGGTTTCAGATTGAGACTACCCTCCCTGACTGGACAGTCACTTCAACTGCTATTCACAACCAGCCCCTGATAACCTCCTGCTCTCTGAGCCATCCACAGAGCTTTAAAACTGTCTAAATGTTTTAGGAAAAACTGCTCACTTGTCTCATATAAAGAGCAGCCAATTCTCCAACCTACGTTTATGAGTATGAGTGGCTCCCGGGCACTGTTCGAAATATGATACTTAATCAATCATTTGTTCCCTGGCGGATTGCCTGGTTGGAGAATCTGGCTGAAGTGACCCGATATTTTTGGTGGATAATCCCATTTGTAATTTTCTCATTCACTCAAGTGTAATGTGTGATTCATGGTTTGAGCGGACGTATTACACAGTGGACACAATACAATACAATCTCCAGTGACATTCTGGTTAATTCGCCCATTGATATTTTTTAATTGGCTGATATGTTTTAATATGGGGAGATTGCATTTGCCAATTGTCAATATTTTCTACCACTTTAGCACTGATAAAATACTAATATTAAATTATGCTATATTTTACTCTTTGACGATTGCACATTAAAGTATATGCAATACAGGGCAGTCTCAATACTACCGATTATAACTGTTTCTAAATGTAGTCGCCTAACAAACATAATAATGGGGCTAGTTATATCTTATGCATAGATCAACAGTAAAACCACAAGCTTCATAAATTCACATTTCTTATTTAGGAGGTGGTGAAATGAGTTGACCTCTTCAGCTGCACAATGTCCATTTTTTGAGTCTATATTTTCTTCTAACAGATGCGGCAAGTGGGAATAGCTGATGTGGAATGATTGCTTATATCGGCTTTGATGGACACCCATTCTCTGCTCTCCTCTCATTTCGTTCTTTAAATTCCCTGAGACGTAGAATACAAAGGCCAGTGGTCACAATGACCTATAAAAGATTCACATTTCACACAGCAATTGATTTATCCTCTAAAATCATTTCCTGTATTGTAATTCAAATCTACATTCGGCCTGACACATAATAAGAGTATTGCACAGCCACATTTGGAATGCTTATGTGTTATGTCTTCTAGCTACTGGTCTAGATGGCCACATCTAATCAGTATCTTGGTCTCAGTGTTTCTGTTTCAACATTTTAATTGCCTGTGTAATGACATTCATGGTGGCAGGGGATTTTTCCTCAAAGCTTTTAAGTGTCAAACAATGCCAGGAAAGTTAAATGAAATCTCATTGTGGATATGATGGCTGTGTTAGACTGTCAGACATGATGGTTGTGGTCAATACAGCCTCCAACACAATGGATGTGGTCAATGGAGGAGGTCTGTCCAATTACTTAACTTCTACAGCCCCAGGTAGGCCTCTACCCTACCCACCATCATGGACATTGTGTGGTAGTTGGCATCCCATTCCAGCTGCAGGTCACAGTGAGCGACCCTCACATTTCCATGAGGTGATCAGCCAGCAGGGTTTCCATATCAAGTGCAACACCACTCTGCCAGGCTACTGTGTCTGTTCCCCTTCTCTCTCCCATCCACCCATGACTCCTCTTCCCCCTATGAAGTGGTTGTTCCAAGTTCTGCAGACAGATGGCAGGGGACTGCCTAGCCGCCTGCACTGTATCAATACAGGGATTATTGTGTATCATCAGACAAGCTCAGCGGAGCTCTCCTGTGGGGCGCCCCCAATCCGCGGCTCTGTGAGACTTGTGTAGTAGAGGGCATGAACAGATGTTAGGCAACTCTGGAGCCAGGGTTGGAGAGGTTAGATTGGAGCTGTATCTGAAGCACTAACTCTGCTATCTGAATTGGGAATAATTTATCCTACTTGTATCCTAAGTGGGATAACACATTTATCAACTGTCAATATATATATATATATATATATATATATATATATATATATATATATGTGCATTCGGAAAGTATTCAGACCCCTTGACTTTTTCCACATTTTGTTTATTCTAAAATTGATTAAATTAATGTTTTTCATCATCAATCTACACACAATACCCCATAATGACAAAGCGAAAACAGGTTTTTAGAAATGTTTGCAATTGTAAATAAATGGAAATACCTTATTTACATAAGTATTCAGATCATTTACTATGAGACTCGAAATTGAGCTCAGGTGCATCCTGTTTCCATTGATCATCCTTGAGATGTTTCTACAACTTGATTGGAGTCCACCTGTGGTAAATTCATTTCATTGGACATGATTTGGAAAGGCACACACCTGTCTATATAAGGTCCCACAGTTGACAGTGCATGTCAGACCAAAAACCAAGCCATGATGTCGAAGGAATTGTACGTAGAGCTCAGAGACAGGATTGTGTTGAGGCACAGACTTGAGGAAGGGTACCCAAAACATTTCTGCAGCATTGAAGGTCCCCAAGAACACAGTGGCCTCCATCATTCTTACATGGAAGAAGTTTGGAACCACCAAGACTCTTCCGGGAGCTGGCCGCCCCAGCCAAACTGAGCAATAGGGGGAGAAGGGCCTTGGTCAGGGAGTTGACCAAGAACCCAATGGTCACTCTGACAGAGCTCCAGCGTTCCTCTGTGGAGATGGGAGAACCTTCCAGAAGGAAAACCATCTCTGCAGCACTCCACCAATCAGGCCTTTATGGTAGTGTGGCCAAACGGAAGCCAATCCTCAGGAAAAGGCACATGACACCCTGCTTGGAGTTTGCCAAAAGGCACCTACAAGATTCTCTGGTCTGATGAAACCAAAATTGAACTCATTGGCCTGAATGCCAAGCATTATGTCTGGAGGAAACCTGGCACCATCCCTACGGTGAAGCATGGTGGTGGCAGCATCATGCTGTGGGGATGTTTTTCAGCGGCAGGGACTGGGAGAATAGTCAGGATCGAGGGAAAGATGAACAGAGCAAAGTACAGAGAGATCCTTGATGAAAACCTGCTCCAGAGCGCTCAGGACCTCAGACTGGGGCGAAAGTTCACCTTCCAACAGGACAACAACCCTAAGCACACAGCCAAGACAACGCAGGAGTGGCTTCGGGACAAGTCTCTGAATGTCCTTGAGTGAATGGGAGAAACTCCCCAAATACAGATGTGCCAAGTTTGTAGTGTCAAACCCAAGAAGACTCAAGGCTGTAATCGCTGCCAAAGTTGCTTCAACAAAGTACTGAGTAAAGGGTCTGAATACTTATGTAAATGTCATATTTCAGTTGTTTGTTTTTCTATAAATTCGCAAACATTTCTAAAAACCTGTTTTTGATTTGTCATTACGGGGTAGTGTGTGTAGATTGATGATAAAAAATAAAGAATTTAATCGATTTTTGAAATAAGTCTGTAACGTAACAAAATGTGGAAAAAGTCAAGGGGTCTGAATATTTCCGAATGCACTATACAGTGGCATGCGAAAGTATTCACCCCCCTTGGCATTTTTCCTATTTTGTTGCCTTACAACCTGGAATTAAAATGGATTTTTTGGGGGTTGGTATCATTTGATTTACACAACATGCCTAACACTTTGAAGATGCAAAATATTTTTTATTGTGAAACAAACAAGAAATAAGACAAAAAAACTAAACTTGAGTGTGCATAACCATTCACCCCCAATTACAGCTGCAAGTCTCTTGGGGTATGTCTCTATAAGCTTGGCCCATCTAGCCACTGGGATTTTTGCCCATTCTTCAAGGCAAAACTGCTCCAGCTCCTTCAAGTTGGATGGGTTCCGCTGGTGTACAGCAATCTTTAAGTCATACCACAGATTCTCAATTGGATTGAGATCTGGGCTTTGACTAGGCCATTCCAAAACATTTAAATGTTTCCCCTTAAACCACTCAAGTGTTGCTTTAGCAGTATGCTTAGGGTCATTGTCCTGCTGGAAGGTGAACCTCTGTCCAAGTCTCAAATCTCTGGAAGACTGAAACAGGTTTCCCTCAAGAATTTCCCTGTATTTAGCGCCATCCATCATTCCTTCAATTCTGACCAGTTTCCCAGTCCCTGCCGATGAAAAACATACCCACAGCATGATGCTGCCAACACCAGGCTTCACTGTGGGGATGGTGTTCTCGGGATGATGAGAGGTGTTGGGTTTGCGGTAGACATAATATTTTCCTTGATGGCCAAAAAGCTAAATTTTAGTGTCATCTGTCCAGAGTACCTTCTTCCATATGTTTGGGGAGTCTCCCACATGTCTTTTGGTGAACACCAAACATGTTTGCTTATTTTTTTATTTAAGCAATGGCTTTTTTCTGGCTACTCTTCTGTAAAGCCCAGCTCTGTGGAGTGTACGGCTTAAAGTGGTCCTATGGACAGATACTCCAAGCTTTGCAGCTCCTTCAGGGTTATCTTTGGTCTCTTTGTTGCCTCTCTGATTAATGCCCTCCTTGCCTGATCTGTGAGTTTTGGTGGGCGGCCCTCTCTTGGCAGGTTTGTTGTGGTGCCATATTCTTTCCATTTTTTAATAATGGATTTAATGGTGCTCCATGGGATGTTCAAAGTTTCTGGTATTTTTTTATAACCCAACCCTGATCTGTACTTCTCCACAACTTTGTCCCTGACCTGTTTGGAGAGCTCCTTGGTCTTCATGGTGCCGCTTGCTTGGTGGTGCCCCTTGCTTAGTGGTGTTGCAGACTCTGGGGCCTTTCAGAACAGGTGTATATATACTGAGATCATGTGACAGATCATGTGACACTTAGATTGCACACAGGTGGACTTTAATTAACTAATTATGTGACTTCTGAAGGTCATTGGTTGCACCAGATCTTATTTAAGGGCTTCATAGCAAAGGGGGTGAATACATATGCAAGCACCACTTTTCTGTTATTTATTTTATAGAAAAAATGTTCACTTCACCAATTTGGACTATTTTGTGTATGTCCATTACATGAAATCCCAAGGGGGATGAATACTTTTGCAAGGCACTGTATAACAACATTTGAATTAAGCTCACATATAGAAATTTGGTCACATACAGTGCCTTCAGAAAGTATTTACATCCCTTTACTTTTTTCACATTTTGTTGTGTTACAGCCTGAATTTAAAATTGATTAAATTGAGATTTTGTGTCACTGGCCTACACACAATACCCCATAATTTCAAAGTGGAATTATGTTTGTAGAAAGTTTTACAAATTAATAAAAATGAAAAGCTGAAATGTCTTGAGTCAGTAAGTATTCCACCCCTTTGTTATGGCAAGCCTAAATAAGTCCAGGAGTAACAATTTGCTTAACAAATTGTGTCATAAGTTGCATGGACTCACTCTGTGTGCAATAATAGTGTTTAACATGATCATTTTAGAATGACTACCTAATCTACAGTATGTACCCCACACATACATTTATCTGTAAGGTCCGTCAGTCGAGCAGTACATTTCAACCACAGATTCAACCACAAAGACCAGGGTTGTCCAATGTCTCACAAAGAAGGGCACCTATTGGTAGATTGGTAAAACAAATAAAAAGATCTGCCGTTGAATTTCCCTTTCCCTGAGCATGGCGAAGTTATTAATTAATAAACAATATTCAAAAACATGCATCCTGTTTGCAATTTGGCACTAAAGTAAAACTGGCAAAATGTGGCAAAGAAATTAACTTTATGTCCTGAATACTAAGCATTTGTTTGGGGCAAATCCAACACAACACATCACTGAGTACCACTCTTCATATTTTCAAGCATGGGGGTGCTTACCAAGACGACATTGAATGTTCATGAGTTGCCTAATTACAGTTTTGACGTAAATCGGCTTGAAAATCTATGGCAAAACTTGAAAATGGCTGTCTAGCAATGATCAACAACCAACTTGGCAGAGCTTGAAGAATTTAAAAAAGAATAATGTGCAAATATTGTGCAATCCAGGTGTGGAAAGCTCTTAGAGACTTACCCAGAAAGACTCACAGCTGTAATTGCTGCCAAATATGATTCTAACATGTATTGACTCAGGGCTGTGAATACTTACACTATATATACAAAAGTATGTGGACACCCCTTCAAATTAGTGGATTCGGCTATTTCAGCCACATCCGTTGCTGACAGGTGTATAAAATAGAGCACACAGCCATGCAATCTCCATAGACAAACATTGGCAGTATAATGACCTTACTGAAGAGCTCAGTGACTTTCAACGTGGCACTGTCATAGGATGCCATCTTTCCAACATGTCAGTTCGTAAAATTTCTGCCCTGCTAGAGCTGCCCCGGTCAACTGTAAGCGTTGTTATTGTGAAGTGGAAATGTCTAGGAGCAACAACGGCTCAGCCGCGAAGTGGTAGGCCACGCAAGCTCACAGATTGGGTCAGCCGAGTGCTGAAGTGCGTAGCGCGTAAAAATTGTCTGTCCTCGGTTACAACACTCACTACCGAGTTCCAAACTGCCTCTGGAAGCAACATCAGCACAATAACTGTTCATCGGGAGCTTCATGAAATGGGTTTCCATGGCCGAGCAGCCGCACACAAGCCTATGATTACCAAGCGCAATGCCATGCGTCGGCTGTAGTGGTGTAAAGCTAGCCGCCATTGGACTCTGGGGCAGAGGAAACGCGTTTTCTGGAGTGATGAATAACGCTTCACCATCTGGCAGTCCGACGGACAAATCTGGGTTTGGCACATGCCAGGAGAATGCTACCTGCCCGAATGCATATTGCCAACTGTAAAGTTTGGTGGAGGAGGAATAATGGTCTGGGGCTGTTTTTCAAGGTTCGGGCTAGGCCCCTTAGTTCCAGTGAAGAAAAATCTTAACGCTATAGCATACAATGACATTCTAGACAATTCTGTGATGCCAACTTTGTGGCAACAGTTTAGGGTAGGCCCTTTCCTGTTTCAGTATGACAATGCTCCTGTGCACAAAACGAGGTCCATCCAGAAATGGTTTGTTGAGATCGATGTGGAAGAACTTGACTGGCCTGCACAGAGCTCTGACCTCAACCCCATCGAAAACCTTTGGGATGAATTGGAATGCCGACTGCGAGCCAGGCCTAATCGCCCAACATCAGTGCCCTGCCTCACTAATGCTCTTGTGGATGAATGGAAGCAAGTCCCTGCAGCAATGTTCCAACATCTAGTGGAAAGCCTTCCCAGAAGAGTGGAGGCTGTTATAGCAGCAAAGGGGGAACCAACTCCATATTAATGCCCATGATTTTGGAATGAGATGTTCAACGAGTAGGTGTCCACATACTGTTGGTCATGGTGTCTCCCGAGTGGCGCAGTGGTCTAAGGCACTGCATCACAGTGCTAGCTGTGCCACTAGAGATCCTGGTTCGAATCCAGGCTCTGCTGTAGCCGGCGCACAATTGGCCCAGGGTAGGGGAGGGAATGGCCGGCAGGGAGGTAGCTCAGTTGGTAAAGCATGGCGTTTGCAACGCCAGGGTTGTGGGTTCGATTCCCACGGGTGGCCAGTATGAAAATAAAAAAGAATAATGTATGCACTAACTGTAAGTCGTTCTGGATAAGAGCTTCTGCTAAATGACGTAAAATGTAGCATATGTCAATTAGATATTTCTGTATTAAATTTGCAAAAATGTATAAAAACGTGTTCACTTTGTCATTATGGGGTTTTGTGTGTAGATGGGCGAGATAATTGTTTTTATTAAATCAATTTAGAATTAAGGGTTAATACAGCAGAATGTGGAATATGTCAAGGGGTATGAATACTTTCTGAAGGCACTGTATGTCAGGACATCCTGTAACAGCATGTACTGAATGTTCAAGGATGCTGCTTTTTCTTTGCATGATTCACAGTTATGTTTACTGTTGTTCAGCCCAGTTGGGTCTGTGTGTACTGTATGTGTGTGTGTGTGTATAAAGTATGTTTGTCAGTTAATACACTCTCTCTTTCCCTTTGCATCTCTTATTTTTGTCCCCAGGGGTCACCACAGTTCTAACCATGACAACCCTGAGTATCAGTGCCAGGAACTCCCTGCCTAAGGTGGCCTATGCTACAGCTATGGACTGGTTCATGGCAGTATGCTATGCCTTTGTCTTCTCCGCCCTGATAGAGTTTGCCACAGTTAACTACTTCACCAAGCGCAGCTGGGCATGGGACGGCAAGAAGGAGGCCCAGGAGATGAGGGTGAGTACTGTAGCTATGGTATACCTACAGTACATGGAGGTAGTTTCAGTACTTCAAAGGTTAAAACAATATAATGTAGATCCTCACACATCCCCTAAAAGCCTTGCTCCCTCTTTGTGTGCTTTGCTGGTGTTGTGGAGAAGTAGCTAATCACAACTGTCTCCATCCTCATTCATCTGCTAGATAGTGTGTCTGTCTCCTCCTCGGCTCGCTCCTCGGCTTGCTATCTCTCTCTCCCTCTCTAGAGTCGAGTGGCTTTTTGTTTATTCTAGATTATTTGCTTTCTATCTATCTTCCCCTGATAACCTCCTGAAAATGAGCGTCTTCAGAGCTAATTGCTCAGAGATGCGGCGAGGGAAGCTGATCAGAGCTCTCATATTGTATTGTAGTGGGAATAAGGAGTGATTGTACCTGCGAAACACTGATAGAAAGTCCCATCCCAGCCTCCTGGGGAAGGCAGCCTTGGGTAATCTGTAAAGAGACACTTTATTTATTCATTAACAACCCCACAGAGGAGGATCTCTGTTCCTGGCACAACAGAGTGAGCAGCAGGGGGTGGGGGAGGACAACTCCCAGAGCAGGTATCCTGAGCACAGACCAAAAATAGGGTATATCACACACATACAGTGCATTCGGAAAGTATTCAGACCCCTTTACCTTTTCCACATTTTGTTACGTTACAGCCTTATTCTAAAATTGATTAAATTGTTTGTTTTTTCTCATCAATCTACACACAATACCCCATAATGACAAAGTGAAAACAGGTTTTTATAAATGTTTGCAAATGTATACAAATAAAATAAAACAGAAATACTTATTTAAATAAGTATTCAGATATTTTGATATAAGACTCAAAATTGAGCTTAGGTGCATCCTGTTTCCATTGATCATCCTTGAGATGTTTCTACAACTTGATTGGAGTCCACCTGTGGTAAATTCAATTGATTGGACATGATTTGGAAAGGCACACACCTGTCTATATAAGGTCCCACAGTTGACAGTGCATGTCAGAGCAAAAACCAAGCCATGAGGTCGAAGGAATTGTCCGTAGAGCTCCGAGACAGGATTGTGTCGATGCACAGATCTGGGGAAGGGTACCAAAAAATGTCTGCAGCATTGAAGGTCCCCAAAAACACAGTGGCCTCCATCATTCTTAGATGAAGTTTGGAACCACCAAGACTCTTCCAGGAGCTGGCCACCCGGCCAAACTGAGCAATCGGGGGAGAAGGGACTTGGTCAGGGAGGTGACCAAGGACCCAATGGTCACTCTGACAGAGCTCCAGAGTTCCTCTGTGGAGATGGGAGAACCTTCCAGAAGGACAACAATCTTTGCAGCACTCCACCAATCAGGCCTTTATGGTAGAGTGGCCAGACAGAAGCCACTCCTCAGTAAAAGGCACATGACAGCCTGCTTGGAGTTTGCCAAAAGGCACCTAAAGGACTCTCAGACCATGAGAAACAAGATTCTCTTGTCTGATGAAACCAAGATTGAACTCATTGGCATGAATGCCAATGGTCACGTCTGGAGGGATCCTGGCACCATCAATACGGTGAAGCATGGTGGTGGTAGCATCGTGCTGTGGGGATGTTTTTCAGCGTCAGAGACTGGGAGACTAGTCAGGATAGAAGGAAAGATGAACGGCGCAAAGTACAGAGAGATCCTTGATGAAAACCTGCTCCAGAGCACACAGGACCTCAGACTGGGGTGAAGGTTCACCTTCCAACAGGACAACAACCCTAAGCACACAGCCAAGACAACGCACAAGTGGCTTTGGGACAAGTCTCTGAATGTCCTTGAGTGGCCCAGCCAGAGCCCGGACTTGAACCCGATCAAACATCTCTGGAGAGACCGGAAAATAGCTGTGCAGCGACGCTCCCCATCCGACCTGACAGAGCTTGAGAGGATCTGCAGAGAAGAATGAAAGAAACTCCCCAAATACAGGTGTGCCAAGCTTGTAGCGTCATACCCAAGTAGACTCGAGGCTGTAATCACTGCCTAAGGTGCTTCAACAAAGTACTGAGTAAAGGGTCTGACTACTTATATAAATCTGATATTTCAGTTTTTAATTTGTAATACATTTGCAAAATATTCTAAAAACTTGTTTTTGCTTTGTCATTATGGGGTATTGTGTGTAGATTGATGAGGGGGAAAAAAACAATTTAATCAATTTTAGAATAAGTTGTAAGGTAACAAAATATGGAAAAAGTCAACACGTCTGAATACTTTCTCAATGCACTGTACAAATTATAAACAGTGTATATCATACATAGACACACTGTATCTCATACACACGTACAGCACATAAACCCCAGTGTACATCACAGAGACAGTGAGAGAAACTGAGAGAGACAGTGAGAGACAGTGATAATTAAGGCATGGGGTTATATGAGGAACTCATTAAACATTGTGATTTTGACACTTAATGCTAAAAAAGTTTGGAGAAGTTTGGGTGCAATCAGGAGATGTGTTTCATGTGAACAGCTGTGAGGATATTAAAGGGATATTTCAGGATTTTGGCAATAAAACCCTTTATCTACTTCCCCAGAGTCAGGTGAACTTGTGGATACCATTTGTATGTCTCTGCGTGCAGTTTGAAAGAAGTTGATAACTAGCGTTAGCCTAATTGCTAACTGGAGTTAGCGCAATGACTGGAACTCTGCTAACTGCTAGCATGCTAGTAGATACCAAAGACTTCCAGTCATTTCGCTAACGCTAGTTAGTATCGGCTCCCGAAACGACCTCTAACTTCCTTCATACTGGATGCAGAGACATGAAAATGGTATCCATGTGGTCATCTGACTCTTGCCAAAATCCCGAAATATCCTTTTAAAAGTAAGTGGAGAACTCCTGGAAAGTTTTGAAAGTGGAATATCTGAGACTCGATTTAGAAGTCTAAAGTCTTCTCTTTAGTGTGCTTCTGTCAACCCAAGTCAATATTTGTAGAAATATCTCAGGCTTTCACTCGCTGCAACAGATGTTTACAGTGTCACAAATCCATTTCATAATATGCTGAGTATGAAGGACTCACAACCATCAGTCAAACATTTCTTAAGTTCTTTGTAAGTTGACTGGATGATTGACACCATGGCGTATTGCTGACATGAATCCTTTCTGTAGTCACTGAGGGACAGATGGTTCTGTGAATTACAATGCAGTACGTGGAGGAGGCTTTTTCTTTGTTGCTTTGTCTTAATGGCAGCAGCAGCAGGATGTCTGTTCTGTGTTCTCTGGGTTGCACTGAGCAGGCAGTTTGTGGTGATGGGATGCGTTAGGGTAGGGGTCACTCGGGGAGCGATAGCACACCTATCACAGTCCCTCACTGATAGAAGCTTCAGGAGAGCTGCGGGATGAAACGCTGTATGCTTTATCCTTGTTTAAAAGTTTCACAGGGGAATATGTGTGTATGAAGTGAGAGCGTAATCAAAAGGCTGTTCCTCAGAGAGAGGGGAAGGACTCCTGGCTGAGTGTCCTGTTGGGAGTAGCATCCCTGTTCATCAGAGGCTGTGGCTGCAGCCTTCTCCTGATGGGGCCAGATGGTGACCTCATAGCCTGGGGCTCTGAGAGGCTCTGAGAGGCTGTGAGAGGCTGTGTTTCAGCTGATGCTGGGAGTGAGGAGCCAGAGGAGGGTCGATGTTAGGTAATTTACCTCAGTGACTGTGGAGCTCCTCTGACTCTCAATGTTGCCCTTTTTTGTCAGACGTGTCCTGTTAGACATAACAGCCGTGTGGGCCTGGTCGGCAGCAGCAGCAACACCATTCATGCAACCTAATGAGGTTTCTCTCTCCTCTCTTCTCCTCGCCACTAGAGACCCAGGGCGCGATAGTCAGGGGTACAGGCACAGACATGTTAGTCAACTTTCTGTGATTATTGACTGATAAGAACTGATTGAATTAGAAACATATATTGGGTTGGATTTACATGACATGATAACATTTTAGGGCATTAGTGCAGGGGAGAAGCAGAACTGACCTTGATTAGGGATTTGAAAGTATGTTTAATTCATGCTGGCTGACAGACAGTCTGTAACACACTGCAGTAATGAGGCTGTGCTGCAGTCAGGTCTATGTGGGGACCAGCCACCTCTACAGCTGTCATCGTTCCCAGCAAGCCAGGCCACCTGCACAGACAGACACACGCACATACACACATACACACACACACATAAACACACACACATACACATACACACACACACACACACACACTGGGACACACTCATAGCCCCAAGATGTGGTGTCACATCCAAGCAAAAAGGCTGCACGTACGGACACATACAGTACACACATACACACAGGGACATACTGCTACTCTTAGCCATAAGCCATAAGGCACCTTCTCTCTGAACACAGACCCAGAGAGACACTGTAAGACCCAAGATACTCTGTCACCCCTGCATACACTCACAGCAAGACACTTTAAGCCTTGTACTCAAACACCGTCACACACTCACATACACATACAAATGCACAGGCAATGTCTCCCAACATTCCCCACTCAGGACCAAGGGGCACTCATATACACACACACACACTAAGGAGTCTTCATGCCCCAAGCTTGCCGAAAGCATTTATATAATCACACAAAGTTTGTCTGCCCTCAAGCAATTTTGGTGTACTCTTGTGTACAGTATAGTGGTACACTATGTTTTGAAGAACATTACTTCTAAACAAAGCCCCATACTACGGTTGCCTCTGCCTGTATCTCAGACCACATAACTCAGAATTATATTATGGAGTCCCTCGCCACTAGCTGATTGGCAGGTGTGTTCTAGCAGGGCCTTATATGTCAGGGTGGTAGGCTGAGAGCAGACCTGATGCCGGGGATAAATGAGCTTAGGTAGCTGTGGTAAAGGTCATGAGACGCTTGTTAATAGTTATCCCTTACTCATGCTGATCTAAGCTGTGATATAAGGGGCCCGGGGTGTTGTTGGATCAGGAAGAATCAATACCCTGTGAAAGCCTCAGGGCGTCCAGGGGGCAGCAGCCGTCACCGCTAAAAGACTCCCTCTCCACTGATATTGGCATGATAGAGCCAGAGCCCAGGCCCAGCCCAGCAAATAGAACCCTGGCCCAGCCCGGCAAATAGAGCCCAGGCCCAGCCCAGCAAATAGAACCCTGGCCCAGCCCGGCAAATAGAACCCTGGCCCAGCCCAGCAAATAGAACCCTGGCCCAGCCCGGCAAATAGAACCCTGGCCCAGCCCAGCAAATAGAACCCTGGCCCAGCCCGGCAAATAGAGCCCAGGCCCAGCCCAGCAAATAGAACCCTGGCCCAGCCCGGCAAATAGAGCCCTGGCCCAGCCCGGCAAATAGAACCCTGGCCCAGCCCGGCAAATAGAGCCCTGGCCCAGCCCGGCAAATAGAGCCCTGGCCCAGCCCAGCAAATAGAGCCCTGGCCCAGCCCGGCAAATAGAGCCCTGGCCCAGCCCGGCAAATAGAGCCCTGGCCCAGCCCGGCAAATAGAGCCCTGGCCCAGTCCGGCAAATAGAGCCCTGGCCCAGTCCGGCAAATAGAGCCCTGGCCCAGCAAATAGAGCCCTGGCCTGGCAAATAGAGCTTGGGCCCAGCCTAGCAAATAGAGCCCTGACCCAGTCTAGCAAATAGAGCCCTGGCCCAGCCCAGCAAGTAGAGCCCTGACCCAGTCCAGCAAATAGAGCCCTGACCCAGTCCAGCAAATAGAGCCCTGGCCCAGCCTAGCAAATAGAGCCCTGGCCCAGCCCAGCAAGTAGAGCCCTGACCCGGCAAATTGAGCCCTGGCCCAGCCCGGCAAATAAAGCCCTGGCCCAACCCGGCAAATAGAGCCCTGGCCCAACTCGGCAAATAGAGCCCTGGCCCAACTCGGCAAATAGAGCCCTGGCCCAACCCGGCAAATAGAGCCCTGGCCCAACCCAGCAAATAGAGCCCTGGCCCCATCCAGCAAATAGAGCCCTGGCCCAGCCCAGGTAGAATCACAGACAGACAGACAGACGGCATACTCTCTCTCTGTTGAATGTCATTACTGCTACTTTGTTCTGGTTTGAAGCCCCTCTGGATGGAAGGTTTTCTCTGGTAGTTTGTTGTTGTTTTGGAACGGATGGAGCGCTGTTGTTCAGGTGCCTCTGGTGTCCTCTGTGCATTCTGTAGCCTCCATTCACCTTGTACATCTGAGGTGAAATGCAAACCATTACCCCCTGTGTTAGCCCCCCTGACCGGCCTGCTTATCCAATTGGATCGGCCAGTTCTCCTTGATGCTGTGGTTTAAGACAAAAATCCATCATAGCACCCTGGTTGTTATATTCCATTTACCCTTCTTATACATTAATCAACACCTTGTTGATGCAAACCTGGCCATACTAATGTAATACAGCATATGAATTTCTCAGCTGTAGGTGTATTTCTGACATATGAAAAAGTATCTAAGGATTCCCTGAGGCAGGATTTTGAGACCTAAAACTGCTCCCAACCCATCTTTTTTATATCCCCTTGCCTTCATTCCTAATCTATGGCCTATATACAGTACAGCCCCAGTCCTCAGAGGGTAGTTTGTCAGGCCTGTTTACAGGTGCATTGATTTAACTCTGCTACTCATCCTGCTCTGCTCTTATCCTACCACTAACTCTCCAGTGCCACCAGCCTAGACAAACCCTGTCCACTACTCTGCTCTGCCCCATTTCTTTCAGTGGTTCAGAAAATAACAAGCCTCTCGGAAATTAGACCATGATATTGCCCATAAACCTCTGACCTGTGTCCTATGTTACAAATGTATTGCATGCCATGCCCTGGGGTGTGCCTATTCTCACTGTGCACTGTGATGTATGCATATTTTGTCAGGGAGGCTCATGTGATTTGCCACTTATTGGAGCGTAGATGCGTAATGTTCTATGACCTTGGCCTTTTGTCTCGGCTGGGAGGGCTACAGCCCCAATCCCTACACTAGGGCCTTGAGTTCTTTCAGCTTGGCTCCTAACCCAATGGTGCAAAACAGGGATGTTCATAATGTTCCCTTCATGCATATTGAGCATCATTGCACCCCCAGTCAAAACAGTCCCAGGTAATGTTGTCATTTGATGATCCAGCCCTGATTTTCTCAGTTTCTCTTCTCTTTACAGAGAAGAGAATCTGCCTCTCTTTCCAAAAAGGCCAATAACACATTCAACATTGTTGGAACTACCTACACCATCAATGTGGTAAAGGACCCAGGTTTAACCACAGTCTCCAGGAGTGCCACCACAGCTACACACCACCACCACCACCACAGCCACAAGGTCCCTAAAATGGACGACTCATATGTGGAAGCCATAAAGTCCTACAACCGCGTCAGCAAAGTGGACAAGATATCACGCATCATCTTCCCTGTGCTGTTCTTCATCTTCAACCTGGTCTACTGGGCCACGTACATCAACAGCAAGCCGCGCGCCATCCCCTCCCCCAGGTCCACCTCCCAGAATTAAACTCACCAGGACAACCTATTAGGCTGAGATTGCAAGAGGCCAAGAGATCCACCACATGTTATTGTATCATTGTTTTTTACTTAATTTTGATATTTGCAAGTCTCAATAGATCGAAGATAAACATTCTCTTAGATTTGTATGTACATAGTCGAACTATAAATGATCATTTGTTGTTTCCTGATTATATGTTTCTTTGATAGAATAGCCGGATGGTGTTTTGGACATGTTTTCTCTTCACTCTGACATGATAAGGGGGAGCATGTGTTTGAATCCTTCATGTTAGCTCATTACAGAGGATCAGGTCCTGGTGCATCACCGTGTGTAAACACACACACAGACACACACACTCACACCATTCACTCTGAATTGCGTCAGAATGCAGCAAGGAGAACCATTGGCTGATTGTCGCTATAGTGGGCTCTTATAGCCAGGGGCAGCCTGTAGAGTTCCATTGGAACATCATTAATAATCCTCAGTGTCTGCCCTTCTGCTAGCGCTGAATCTCAACAGACCCAACGCAATATCATCTGAAATTGCTTTTGTGTCCTATGGGCCTGCCTGTGCATTTTCCAGTCCAGTGACTCTTATTGTTTTAACAGGCTGAGTATGCTCAAAGAGAAATAAGCAATGTGCCTTTTTGAATACCCACATCTTTAAGATAAAGCTTTTGGCACATGCAAACACACACACACACACACACATATACACAAGCACACCGGTGTCCATATGTTTTGGGCCTGTGTGCGGCGGCTCCCCCTTCTCTCCCTCCACCTACAGCCCATGGTCACTGGTGGACATAGTCAGCGAGGGTGAAATCTCTAAAGCATCTCATGCTGAAGGCCCTGTGTAAGGTAGAGGAGAAGCTGCAGTAAATAGTGGGTCAGTACCACTGGATGAAATGTAATAATAATGTGACTGATGCAGCATTATCAAATATTCTCTATGTACATTCTCATGTATTGGCTTACAGTGGTCAGCCTCAGTGAGCCACACAGCTGTCATAGTATTCTGACATCATTACCTCAGATTGAAGTCTAATATAGATAACAGTTCATTTGTATAGTAACACAATCATTGGTTAATTTATTCAACCATGTTCTATCTATAGTAAAAAATTCTTGACTTTTCAGTTAATGGACGTTTTCTGATGAAGGCTTTGACCCTTGTGCCTGTTCGTGTTGTTTCTTTTCTCCATGGGATTATGATACAAATTTGAGGCCCCATTTAGAAAGACAACTTCTTTTTTTAAGATGCTCGTTTCCATGTTGTCATTCCCATTCTATAGATTTGTTTTTTTGTGTGTGTACAGGGATGGGCAAAAATATAAAAATACTATTGCATAATACATTTACAAAATACCATAAAGATCAATGTATCAAAATAAACTACAAAATAATTTTATTTTTAAATGTATTTCATTAAAATACATGTATTTTGTATTTTAAAATACAGAAATACATTTGCAAGTAGCTGGCCCGAACAGCAACAACATTCTCAGTAACGGTTACAGAAACGTTTTACTTGCTATAACTGTAATATGTTGTTGTTTATCTACCTTAGTTGAATGCACTGACTGTAAGTCACTCCGGATAAGAGTGTCTGCTAAATGACCAAAATGTAAATGTATATATGAAAATGAACATACCAAAAGGAACTGCAAAGCACACTGGGTATTATTATTAGCCTTGTGTCGGGCGGAGCTCATTCGAATAATACTCAGCATGCTTTGCAATTGTCCATTTTTACATATACAATTATATTTAGTTCATTTAGCAGATACACTTATCACACCATAGTGCCATCATACTTCTGAGACCAATGCAGGGGGACAGGGGGCTACAAAATTGTGAACCACTATAAAAAATAATATAGGAAAGTATTTTGTATTTTGAAAATACATATTACAGCTCTCGAAAGTAACTTGTTACAAAATACATTGGAGTGTAGTTCAGCCCCCAGTGTAATACAAATTGCAAAATACTCAGAAGTAATTGAAATACATATTTCAAATACATGTAACATAAATACTGCCCATCTCTGTGTGTGTAACTCATGATTTACATTATACAGGTGACTGTGGATAGGAAAATGTTGTTAGACTGTGTTACACGTCCACATACATAAAGCAGGGATGAAGGAGAGGCAGGTGTTAAGCTAAAATAAGTTGTGCTAAAATCATACAGCCTGTACATGGCGATGGTAATAGTTGCTGTGAAAGTAATGACGTTGCACAGGACTTTTCCTATGTGTTTCTAGTGTATTCTGTGATTGTTAAGCAGATGACTTTCCCAGAACCCAACATATGTTCTCAATCATCTCTCAAAACAAGACTACGTTCAAAGGAGAAACGCCTTTCAAATGGATAGAATGGATACCATTTTATTGTGACTTCCTGAAGGTGTGTTAAAAACACAAACCATGTACAATGTATCAAACATATGCATGACAATCTGTACATGTGGAAGTCTGCAACCTCCAGTAATGCTGTTTGTCATATTGAATTGTAAGGCTTAGTGTCAGTGTTTCAGTTGCTAACTAAGATACTGTGTAGTATTCCATCTCTGTTGGAGCTGGGGGGTTTGGCCTTCTAGCAGGGCCAGGGGTTGATAGCTACAGGAAGGACACTTATCATCATAAATCATATATGGAATATATTTATATATGAATACATACATAGTAAATATATTTATGCTAATTAACACATGCAATATAAGACATTATATACATGTTTAATATGATATAGCCTATACAGTATCATTGGTAGAAAGCAGTAGATAAACAAATAGACACATTAATACAATATTTAAACTAAGGGCAAATACTTTAATTATAACACAAAATAGTAAGTTGTGAATTTTGTAGATATTGTGAATCCAACTGTAATAGAGCGTTTGTGGAATATAATTAAGTCAGGTTAGTAATTTTTCATATTGATCAGTACTGCAGTCTTACTGTACATTCAGCTCTAAAACACATTCAATGCTATGGGACATTGACATTGGTGTAGCCCAAAGGGCGGCAGATGGCGATATTGAGTCGTTTTATCTTAACGTCCAAAGGGAATGTATGCAGCCGGCTATACACTCGTATCCCTCGTGGACCGGTTCGTACATAAAACATTCTCCATTCAGGCTGCAAAGGCGTCGATTCCCTCATTAACTTGATTTAATGGCAAGAAAGCGGAAAATAAAGGGGAGAAATGTGCGTACTTTCTTTATGAAACACCATTTTCCACCAACATGCTAGGGTGGCTAATGCTACTTCCTGCATTCAGACCAAGGGCAAACAACAGATTGCTGCAACTTGATTGGCTGAGCGCTTTGGGCTAACATTGGTGATGCTTGGCATCTGACATCTTGGCTTCTCAGCAAGATGAATACCTTGCGTGCCCTTTTCATACCTAACTGTGAACGAGCAGATGCTTTGTCTGCAAGTGATGCTGCTCGACACACTGTACTCTGTTCTCCTTTCTAACTGCACTGAGGGAGTGGAGACTTTCTCCACAAAGAGAGCTCCCAGATTACTATGGACTCTCTTTATTGGCCATGCTAGTCGTTGCAATCCCATGTTGAAGTGTCTCTCCCCTCACTCTCAATGACAGGACCCTGGGTGTTGGAGAGCACTTTCTGTCTACTGTCTACTCGCCGCTTAGCAAATACCAAATAACCCTGTGGGATTTCAAGGACATTGTATGTGGACCCAAAAAAAAGTTTAGGGGAAAACTGTCCAAGAAAAATCTGCTCAAGTCATTTGGTGTGTTTTGACATGTGGCTCATTGAAACATCAATCTTGCGCCTCTTGGTAGTTACCTCTATCACGTGGGCTGTGCTCTAGCGCATGCTAGTCATTTTGTTTGTGGTGTTGACACTGTGATTCAATGCAAAAAGGTAGCTGGATGGAACGAGGAAATCCTATAGGGGACAGGGCACTGCCTGCACAATCTGTGTTGCAATGCTTGATAGCACCAAGGAACAGTCACATGAGTGTAATTTATGTGAGGTACTGCATACAAATGCAAGGACAGCAGCTTATAGACATGATTCAGTAGTGTCCACACTTTTTTATTTAGTGGAGAATGTAGGGGGTCATTGTGAATCACCTCACAGCTGAAATATAGTCATGACCCACTGGGCACAAACTGGGTGAATCAACCTTGTTTCAACGTAATTTGTCAACGTAATTTGTCAACGTATTGTGACATGGAAAATACATTGGATTTGAAAAAAGTACTGTTTTCATCTAATGTCAACCAGCGTTGTAAATATTGAAATTAGGGTAAAACTTCAACTTAAATACATTGACTTAACCTGACTAACAGATTGTTACATCAATGTAATTTCAACATAATCATCAGAACTATGTATAGATTGAAACTGCATTGAAAATTCCACGTAGAACCGTAAAAAATATTTTTCATCCTATGTTAATTATATTGAGTGGTTGAAATTATGTTGAATACATATAAGTCATTTAGCAGACGCTCGTATCCAGAGCAACTTACAGTTAGTGAGTGCATACATTTTTCATACTGGCCCCCCGTGGGAATCGAACCCACAACCCTGGCATTGCAAGTGCCATGCTCTACCAACTGAGCTACAGGAGGGCTTGATTTGACATATTTTATTTGGTATGTTTGAATAAACATAATTGTTTCAAAGTCACGCTATTAACCAAAATATAGAGCTACCTGTAAATTGAAATAAAATGTGAAGGCACAGTCCAACAACTCCTGAACAGTGACTCCTACAGTTATATGAGAGGAAATGCACTTCAGTGAGGACAAGTCTACCATCCAGTTGCCCATCTCTATGTACCCTGCTTAGTTTTGGAAGCAAGCTGTGTTCTGTTCAGCTGAGCTATCATGTCAACACATTTAGACCATGATCAACTTCTATACTCATTTGCGTAGACTACCTAAATAACATTGACTAGTTGAAAGTAACTCCTTTAATTTTTTTTACACTAGCAGTATGTGAAAGTAAATTCGGAGTGAGGTGCCC